CTGTCACTTTTCATTCTTTTACTATGCTTTATTGTTCTTTATAGCATCAATCTCGACACCACCTTGTAAAGATTTATTAGTTTATTAGGTTATTGTCTGTCTTCCCCATTAGACTGTAAGTTCCATGAAGGCCAGGACTTCTGTTTTATTCAACAATGTTGTGGAATAGCACATAGCAGGTGCTCAGTAAATTCATTGCTCAATGAATGAACAAATGCATGAGTGAGTGGAGGAAGGTAGGGTTATGCAACCATATCTTGTTTCTTAGAGAAGTCAGAATCTGGATGTTTAGGTGAAATTCTACCAAATACGAACAAAAAAAAATTTCCTTGGCCAACCAAAAAAAAAAAAATGCATCCAAGGGCCACCAGTTTGAGACCCCTGCTCTAGAGATCTGGGTGCAGTGGGAGCTGTGTTCCCTCATCCTCAAATGGTGCAGCCCCTGCAGGAATCCAGTGTTCCTTTGGAATCCACCAGCCCTTGCATCTCCAGGCTCTGGCCCCATGAGGTACTGTTTGTTGTTACAGAGCAAAGTCATCCAGATCACTTCGTTCAAAAGGCAGGATGTGGGCTGCAAGCCTCCAGCTCATCGGTTCAAAGGAAATCTACTTCAGCAGCAATGTCTCCTGGGATGTTTTCCCAAGCCTCCCTGGTTGGCGATGGGGCCTCTTAAAGGACTAATAATAGACAGGCACGTCCAGTTTCCAAAACATGTCAACCTTAAAAGTGAATGCTATTTTTTCCTCCTTACCTTTGAATTACTATGCAGCAGAGGGACATTCTATTATCACAGCCATGGCTTTCCACATGCAGCCTAATAATGACTTACCACTCACTAGCTTCCAGGCGAAATCGTCATGGTGGAACCTGAGCTTCATTAGGCAGAAGTTCAGTGTTGCTGGTTCAGCTCCGCCCTGCTCTCCTTCACGCCTTTATCACCAAGATGCTTTGTAGTCAGGCTGGCCTAATCTCCATTCAACAACAGTGTGACTTTGGGTGTATATCTTCATCACTCTGAGCCTCACCGTCCTTATCCATAATGAAAATTCTGGACTTACACAGGGTTGTTGTTGCAAGGACTGAGTAGGTCAGTGCAAGTACCTGTGACGCCTATCTAGCACTTGCTGTTTGGTATTACTGCACACCTACAGGACACAGTGAGCGGTAAGGGGCAATGTCCCTTAAGGGGCATTTCATTCACTCACTTATTCACACAATCACTTACTCATTCAACCAATATTTCCTGAGCTCTGAGGAGTGTCAGGCATGGAGCTTGGCTCAGATGACACAATGGTGAGCGGTGCCTGCTCTCAGAACCTCGGTCTAGTGAAGGAGTTCATAGTCTAATGCAGTGCTGTGTTCCCAGAGGGTGAGGCATGGTGGGGGGCATGTTGAGACACAGTGCATAGACAGGGCACTAAATCACACTGTAGTATGTACTCATCTAGACAATTATCATTCTTTTGGTTACCTTTCCGTCCTTCAGATTCCATCCAGGAGAGCGTCCCAGTTGGATGTTAGTGTGTCTTTAGCATCTCTCCAATATTTGTTAATCTCTGTCTTTAACAAATACAAGAAGGCTTCAGATGCAGATGTTTTGGGCAGGTGGCAGCATCTGGAGAGATTTTACTACTATGGATATCTTTCGCTATTCAAACTCAGAAACCAGATAGACTTTTTTTTTTTTTTCAGATGGGGCACAAATATGACCAGCATTTGTGAAGATGGGCCCCCCATCAGCCCTATTTTACAGTTGAGGAAAGTGAGTTTCTTTGGGGAGGGGATGGACGGAAGGTGGGGAGTTCTCTTCTAAATGGTTGGGCAAGCAAAGCCAAGAATTGTCTTTGTGGTGGAGAGAGATATTTATATATCGATATATAAAATAAGGTTGCTCCTCCCCTACCTCTGCGGTACGTGTGTGCGTATGTGTGTATAAGTGTGTGAAGCCACGGGCCTTTCCGAATGAGTGACAGCGGGAGCCCATCCCTCCAGGAGACGCGTGCAGAATGACCAATGGGATGGATGCGGGGTGGCTGGGTACCAGTCTCTGCAGAGGCCGGGTGGAATCCGTCGCGCCCACCCCTGCCACCCCCCACCCCCGGTTCCTGTCGGTCGTTCCGCTCCGGATTTCCCCCGGGGCGCACCCAAGGTGCTTACCCCCTTAATGCAACCCCGGGCCCAGGAGCGGGTAGGGGGCGAGGCTCAGGTCTGACGATCGCACGCTGCGGTCCCCGCGCCGCAGCGCTGCGGCTCTGAACACTTCGCTGGGAGGCCGGCAGCCTCGGGGTGCCAATATGTAAAGCAGCTGGCGGCGCTGGGCGGGGCCTGGGCGCGATGCAAATGAAGGAGGCGGAGCCTACCCGGGGCTCCGCCTCCCTCCCCCGCAGCTGGGGCCAGCGGTGCCAAGCGCAGCTGGACGAGCGGCGGCAGCTGGGCGAGTGACAGCCCAGCTCCGCGCGCCGCGGCGGCCAGAG